AGAATTTCTGATTAAACACAGGTACATGACAGTATAAGAGTATACAGAACTATATAGAATATAACATGAAATGATGCATAGAAAAACATGTAAAAAGGCACAAATTACATGCAACTGTGCACATAATGGCATGTTTTTTTATATGTTTTCTCATGCAATTTTCTATATAATTATATATATGCCATTTATTATTTTGTATATATGCTGTGTATGGATCTGCAACCCAGACTCATGCCTATGCCCAACAAAAATTCAGGTATGGGCATGAACATGAAAGCTTTGGCATGGGCATAAATGCTAATATAAAAATTTGGCATAGACATGAGCATAGGCACAAAAATTTGGTATAGGCATAGGCACAAGCATGAAAACTTGGTATGAGCATGGGTATAGGCACAAAAATTTAGTATTTATTAATTAATTATATGTTTGGTACTATTTGGCACTTGTGCCTGGCACTTTTTGGCATTTTTTTACCTAGCATATTGTGCCTATGCCTATAAAGTACCTGGCATTTTTGTATTCATGATTATAAAAATGCCTGGCATTTGTACCCATGCCTATAATAATTCCTGGCACTTTGAGCCTATAGGTATAGGCATGATATGAGGCACTAATGCCTGATATAGTGCCAATTTGCCTAGCATGGGCATTTCAGAACCCTAATGCTGTGCATGAAAAAAATTTTATGCAATTATGTATTTATTAATTTTGCATTTATGCAGATTTTGTGCAACTAATTTGATTTTTGTGCTTTGGATATGCTATATTTTATGCAGTCATATATAAAAATTTCTTATAGAAATAGGAATCAAAGAAGAACTGTTATTAGTAGAAGTATGACCTTAGAGTAGAAGCCTGCATTGGATCTTGCAGCCCAGCCCAGCTTGCAAATTTTTGTGAGTCAGGCCAGACCTAAAACAAAATTTTATAATTGCAAGCCAGTATAGATCTAAAATTTTGTAAAATTATATAAGAAAATTTTGTGATCTAGGCAGGTTCAGGTTGGGATAAAAAAAAAATTTAATATATATAGGCCAGGCCAAGTTGACAAAAAAATATTAACTCTAAATATGGTCTGTACAGGGCCAGAAAAAAAATTTTAATCCTAAATGCAGGCTAAATCTCAAAAATAGTCAATTTGTAGGCCTTTATCTTAGAGTTATCTACTTACTGTGCTTATGCAATTTATTTTTTTATTTTTTTTTTTTTTTTAATGATTCTTATTTTATGTGTTATGAATTTGTCTATCTTTCAAAACCTCATTTTCTCAGATGTTCTTATTTGTATCATTACAATTAAATATAAGTATACTAAAACTATCTTTAAAAACTACTCTTCTATCATCATAATTTGTGAGAGAGTCAATTTAGCTCTCATTATAGCTGTTGCATCACTGATTCTTAGACTGTAGCTTGAGTATTTTTCTTGGAGTTTGGCATATTTTACAAATCACTTTATGATTGCACTAAGTGCTCTTACTAATAGTTTCTTTTCTAAAATTAACAAAAATGCTAGACCTAACTTCGAAATTAATAACCATAGCTATCTATAATTTCTTCAAAATTTAAAAAACAATAACATGAATCTGTTGGTTTAATAGATATGAATTTCTCATATCCAAATTGGTCAGTTTTAGAACATTTTTATCCTGACCCAAAGTAATTTTCCATCATCTCTGAAATCTTCTAGCAATAGTTTTGCTAATTCTTCTGCTCTTCTTATTGTCCTTAGCTTTATGGCTATTAGTGCACAATTCCTTGCAATCATAAGTAGTGTGACATGTTTAAATAAGTCTTTTATATGTTTTTTTAATAATTTTATTGAGAACAGATTTCTGGCCAGAAGGCTTTTTTGTCTATGTTGACTAACTTTAACAGAATCTGTGCTAGTTTTCTAACTCTATATTCTTTAGTTGGGTCTTCAAAACTACAATTTTAATAATATTATGCAATTATTAGTAGTATTGTTGTTAAATTTGATGTTGTTCTATTTATGTTTTTTTAGATTAGATAGGCCAAAATAACCTTTTAAAGGCTGGTAGAGCTGACTTGTTATGTGTAATATAAAAATTTGTAAAATTCTTGAATATTACTAGCAGTTTCTGATTATAAGGTGATCATAGTTTTAAGAGTTCATTGGCTTGTTATAAAAGTAAAGTTAAAATTGAATGTGAACTGCTCAAAATCTCTAGTTTGAATTCTTTATAGGCTTTAGATGACCACCTAGTGACAGAATAAAGGTCTTGCTTAGATGTAGCAGTTTTATATAATTATAGCTGTGTTTTAAAAAAACTGGCCATTAAGAGTCTAAGGTCCAATAACAAACTATTATTGTTGACTTTGCTTGGCATTCAATAATATGCTGAAAAACATATTCTAGTTGGTTTAAAGAGGCACAGATAAAATTTTTTCTTCTTTTCAGTTCATTGTAAAGCAATTTACTGCTTTAGTGTTTGGACAATGCTATTATAAATTGAACCTTTTTAAGTGTGTAATGTTTCTGTCATAGGTTTTCCTTCCTTGCAATATTTTTTTTTTGCTATTCTGTTGTCTATAAAGACAGTAATCCAATAGTGGCTTAACTTTTTTTTAAATAAATTTATTTACAGATAGGTTGCTTCTAATTTAGTTTTGCTATTTCTGTATGTGCATATTTTCTTATCCAGTTCCTGAAAGCTTTTATTTTTAGTAAAGTGGCAGATTAACCTGTAGTTAATGCATCTATAAACACTAAAAAAATCCTTGATGGCTTCAGGCAAGCCTTTTATTTCTCTTTTTCAAGTTTTCTAAAACCTATTTTATATCTTGTTTTGTCTATTAAGAGAAAATTACTATGTTGTTCCAGTCTTATACCCTTCAGTTTGTTGTATCTATAAGTGTGTAGAGTTCTAGACAATGCACTTTTGCTAAGGCAAATGCCTAACTTATACTTATTAAAAAACCTGACACTGAAGCTAGCATGCATACTGTTAGTTTTAAAGTTACTAATAGCATTTTCAATAACTTTTTTATTTTTTGAAGTTTGTCTCTTGGAATGATAACCTCTTTTTTTACTATGTCTAATATAAGACTATAAAATTTTGGTTTTTATGTCACTTCCAATAGCCCTTTGTTTCATGCTTTACTAAGCTACCCTTTTTTATATCCATTGCAATAACCTTTTCTCTTTGATATAGTAGTACTTCCTTCAAGAGGTTAGCTATCCAAAAATCATCCACATAGTTCCTGCAATAGATTCTAAGAAAACACCAATAGCCTATTAGTACTTGCATTACTTTTAAGAATATCCATACTGCTTGGCTTAAGCCAAATAGTAGGACACAATAGTAGTACTAGTTCTTGTCAAAATGAAATCTCAGTAACTTTTGTATACTTTCTTCCATTAGTAGATAGTGATATTTATCTTTTAGGTCAATTATGATTATTCACCAATTTTTGTCTACTGTTCTAATAAAGATTTTTAAATCCTCAAAACAGAATAATTAGTTTGGTAACATGTTGTTTAATCTTTGAAAGTTAATAATCATTCATCGTTTTTGGAAGCCTGCTATTGGTTATAAAAAAATTGAACTCATCTTTATAATAGTTGGTGATCCACTGCTTACTAATTCTATTACTCTGTTTTTTAGCATAATTCTTAATTCTGTTCTCATCTAATTCATCTGTTTTGTATTCATCTTGTAATGTTTTTGGGTTAGTTGGTCACTAAATTAAATAAGTCTCTAGAAAACAATAGTAAACTATTCCTTAGCCAGTTTATTATTTTTTATTTATTTTTTTTTTGTTTAAAGGCCGATGTTAATGGTGGCTAATGCCTTTATTGTAGTTTTAGTGAATATATTATATATTACTTGTACAGGATGAGCATACAACTAGCCAAACGTGTAACTTTTGGTTACCTATTTAAGTAGTCCGCCCAAGGGTTCTACAATAGCTGCTATATCTATAATCTACTAGGAGACTATTTAATTAAACACTTTGATTCCTATATTGCACCCAGGCAATTAGCACACTGGTTCCTGTACACCTAAGTGCTATCTAACCCAACATTTAGCCTCCCTTCTGTATGTCTGTCAAGCTGTTACACAATTATTTTCAGAGCATGACACCTGACTATAAGACTCTGGGAGCCTCTCTGTTAACTACCTATCTACTCTATGAAACATTAACAGAGCTTGCCCTTGCATAGTTCACTTGGACCCTAGCATTTACTTCACAGGATATCCCTAATACTTTTAGTATACACCTGCTTTTTCTCCAAACTCCCAATTCAGATAGCCTGGTAGAACTATGACCAGCCTATTAATATATCAGGTCGACCTGATATCCTTTTTCTTCAGTCCTCTCAGTTGGACTTTCTGGTGGCCTGGTTGGTGGTACCCTCTACCCAGAGGTTTTTGCCCATCTGGGTACTCCACATTGGTATCTGTTGCCTAGGTCTAGCCTTTACAGTAGTACTGTCAAAGATCTGTGTTACCTTTTTACTCAGGTCTTCCCAAGTGGGCTTCTTGTTTCCTAATTTCTACAGATTTACATGGCCACAAAAACTTATTTTGGATTTGCATCACTCAATGCCAGTTTGCATTCCTCTATATAACCAGTTATACAGATGCTCCATAACCTGCCAGTCATGCTGGTGTGACCATAATTACAGGTATCTTAACCCAATTATTAGAAACAGTTGCTGTAATACAAATATTACATAGGTGATTATTCAAATTTTCACTGTCTATGGGTTTTGAACTCACAACCTACCACTTGGAGGGTTAACAACTTATTCACTTTACTAAGTTACTACATCCTTAGCCAGTTTATTATTAATAGTAATGCTTTTATTTTTGTTTTTTAATAATTGACTAACTGAGAAAAATTTAACTGTTCTGTCACTATTTTCTCTGAAATCTGAGTATAGTTAACTGTTTTTAATATCATTTTTCCTTGAGTATGTTGTAGTTGTGTAGGTGTTAGGTCTGTAGTACTTTAATGAGAGACATGTAGCTAAGAGGTGCCCAATCTCTTTACAGTTATAACATGTGAGTTTTCCATCATTTGCTCTTGTTTTTTACTCTTGGTTGTATAGTTTTGGGTTATTGGCATACTTTGAGTTGTAATATCTACTTGGTTTATAGAGATAGTTTGGGTTATAATTTCTGATTGAGTTATAGTAATTTCTTCTCTTAAAGTTAAATAAGTTATTTTGATAAAATAGGATATGAAAAAACTGTTTGTTTCTTGATGTACTATATAACTTTTGCTTCCTTTTAGTTGCTGCCACTTGACAGATCCTATCAATTGTATCTGCATAATCAATTAATTCTTTATTATTAAATTGAAGTAGTTCTGCAGCTACATCTCAACCATACTTCTTTGCAACTTTTAGCATTATCATTTGATCCTTTATTTTTTTCTTTACTATTTCAATATATGATACTGCTTCATCAATTGAGGTATAATTCATGCCTAAGTCAAGATCTTTACTAATAACCCTTAATATATTATACTCATATTGATCTCTGTCTTTATCAAAACACTTATCAGGCCATTTATCATTAAATTTGGCTTTTGCATAAGTTTTTTCTACTTTTGTGTTTATATTAATTATGCTCTTTCTGAGTTCTTTTATTTCTGTTAATAGGTTTCTAATATCTGTATTTTTAACTAATATTCACTAAGTTCTTTTATAAATTCCTGTTTTTGTGTCACTTGAATGGAAGAAGAATATTTGTGCCTCCACTACTTTATATCTTCTCTTTCTTTTCTTTCTTTTGTCTTGTTTCTCTTTTAATAAGTTCTCTAGATCTTGGTTATTATCTTGTGCCAAGTTTATTGATAATCTATTATTTTCTAGCTCATCACTAATTTGTGTTTAGAATTATAATGCTGACTTCTCTCTCTGTTGTGTTCTCTTTTCTGCCAATGTGAAGTTATTCTCTCAATGAAATCTGGTTTACTCCAAGTTGAAGTTGTTCAGCTATTGTTTTCAAAGTACTTAGTAACATTTAAGATCATTTTGTTTTACTTCTTTTAAACTCCAAATCATCATTAATAGGTAGAAGTTTTTTATATAATCTACTTTTTAGATTTGTTATCTTCATAATATTTTTGTGTATTGTAGTTTGTAGTTTTTTTTTTTTGTGTTATATTTGCTGTAGTAGTTGGTTTTTGATAGAGCCAGAAAGTTATATTTTCAGACAACAGTAAAGAAAAAGCACAATTAACAATCTTTCTTTAAGTTCATTAAATATTTACTCAACTATTGGCTTAGCTTTGAGTTTGATATTGTGATGGGGATTTACAGATCTTTCACAATAATATTTGCTTCCATAACTGTGTTATAGTCACTTATCAATCTTATATATGAATAAGCATTTAATAAAATGCTATATTGGGTTTAGCTCAAGGTAAAGTTTATTAAAAACAATTGAATAATAGCTTTATATTATTGTCATGTAAATATTTTATTGTAACTTGTAGATTCTTCTCTTTAATACTTAATTTAGTTAAACTGTATCAAAGCCTTCACTGTATTTTTCTTGTATAAAAGTCCTGTAATTTCTGTTAATAAAAAGACAGTTAAGTAAAGATAAAATATTAATAAAGACATATCTTAAAACTAGGATCTTAGTGGCAATAGGATCTTTGGTTCTTAGACCAAATCTTCTATGCTATTCTTTCAATTACTTGTGTCTTTGTATTATGTTTGTTATATTTTAGCCATAAGAGATCCAGTATCTCCAAATTCTTCCTTCAAATTTATAATTGTGATGGGTTATATAGATGGGTTCAGAAATAAGGTGATTGTCACTAAAAAAATAGTTATATCACATAATATTTCTCAAAGATACAAGAGGCAGTTTTTTGATTTGGCACTGGTCAAGGCAATTGAAGAGAAGTATTACAAATAGTGATGTGCCATATACAGTCTATATTAGGTTCTAATTATTTGCTCAACAATCATTTGCTCAATAATGATTTTCTCAAAATCAAAACCAAATAAATAAACTATGGAACAAAATACAAAAATCTTTAATCAAAGCTTCTCTTAAATATATTCCCTTTAAAAAGATTAAAACTATCAA